ACTCGAGCTCAGGCTAAGAAATTAAGCCAAAAATAAATGATAGACAAGGATTCAGAGGATGATATTGTAGATTTGTCTTAGACATTTTTTGGATCCGACGAGGATCTTATGGATAATTGTCCTACTGATGATTCCTCGGTGAGGAACAACAATGGACGTGAGGGATCTGAGCAACAAAAGGATCCACAGATCTCTTCCTATTTAAATGTGCACTCCCAAAAGATGAACTGAAGAAAGTTCCAAATGGTTATTTTTTCAAAAATGGTGTGTTTAAGAGGAAATGGAGACCACCAGATATTCCAGCTTCAGAGTACTTGGCTATTGTTTATTAAAGCGTTGTTCCCAAAGCATATAGTTCTGAAATATTGAAAGTTGCCCATGAACTCCCTATGCGAGATCATTTAGATGAGAACAAGACTTGACAAAATTATGAGACATTTCTTTTCGCCAAAAATTAGGCAAGATGTTTCTCAGTTTTGTAAAACTTGTCATACTTGTCAGTTGGTCAGAAAACCTAACCAGAAAATTCCTGTTGCTCTTTTGAAACCTATCTCGGCTTTCCAAGAACCCTTCTATCATGTGATTGTTGATTGGGTTGGACCTTTACCAAAAACTCGTTCAGGAACCAGCATTTGTTGACTATCATGTGCGCATCCACTCAATTCCCTGAAGCTATTCCTTTGAGAAACATTTCAGCCCCAAAAATGTCTAAGGCTTTGATTAATTTCTTTACTTTTGTTGGCTTGTCCAATGAAATTCAGTCTGATCAGGGATCAAATTTTATGTCGGGATTGTTTCAACAAGTTGTTTATCAGTTCATTGAAAAACAGATCAAATCTAGTGGGTACCATCCAGAATCGCAAGTTGCTCTTGAGAGATTCCATTCTACCTTGAAAACTATGATGTGGAGTTATTGTCTCGATAACGAGAACGATTGGGATGAAGGAGTTAATTTCGTGAGTCGGTTCAGGAATCGTTAGGGTTTGAGTTGGTGTTTGGCCATTCAGTGCGTGGTCCTTTGAAGTTGCTGAAGAAACAACGGTTGGAAGATGATCCGAAAGAAATGCACTTGTTGGATTACATTTCCAAGTTATTGAAGTTTTGTATTCCTGTCAATAATGTATTATATTTAATGTATTGTTGTCAATGTATATATATAAGGAGGGCGTTGTGACGGATTTATTATTATATATTCATTTTAATATCGATGTTTCTTTAAATTAAATTTATATTTAGAAATATGCATAACTTATGTTAAATATGTATTGTGAAACTCCCTTCTATTCTCTAAAGTTGTAGAAGATTCTCGAGTGTAAGACTCAACAATATATGTGTGTACATAAACTAGTGTTAGCGTCAATATTGTTACGTAAACTGAAATTTCAAGAAACTCTCCACATGCCTATAAATATAACCAACGTGACGCACCAAAAACAGTATCTATTACTGGTTTGCTATAGTTAGTATACTATAAACATCGGAAGATACAACTGTGATTGTTATAAGCTTATTAATCGGGACACTTCATATATTTGACCAGGAACCACTTATCACCAGCTCTTGGGTTATTCTTTACAAACGAATAGTGGGATTGACTGCCACATTATAACACTCCCCAAAATTTCTTACTTTGAACGTTCTTACGTTGCTTGAAACATATTGAAAAGTTCCTTAATTAATTTGAGTGTACTTATAGTTATTGAAGTGTATTGGAAAATTCAATAACCTCAAGTTCAGGGTTCCAAACAAAGTGTTAGCTATTGTGTTTTAGATTATTGTTGTTTTTTGTTTGTTTGTTTTTGTCATTGATTATTTGTATAATTTGAGTTCAACTGTTTGTCTCATTTGGTTTTATTTTTTTTTATGTGACGTTAAATACACGTCATTCTTTGAACAAGAGCATTCAAAGATTACATACCCTCGCCCCGCCGGTCCATTTCGAGACTGCATGTGTTTATATTTGATAATGTCAAATTTCACCTTATAAAACTCAGAAATTCCTTTTCAGTTACAGAATGATTAATGATTCGGATTATTTTTATAGTGTGATGAAGAGTCTTAACCTTAATGTGTTCATGAAATTGGGTACAAATCCGATCGCAATTTACAGAGTTATTAACCCAAAACTGCAAATATGTCATATCTACCCATTATAAAAATTGGTTCAAAGTGATCCAGATCAAATTGGGGAAGGAGTGTTCCATATGATTTCTCATCTTGTGTACAATTTTCGTGTACATCGGTTTATTTAGTTTCGAACCAGATTGCAATACCCTCGCCCCTCCGTGGGCGAGGGTAATAAGAATGAAAATCAACTTCAGCCTTCTTTCAGTCAGGACACTTATTTGACACTAGTTATTTATTTCTTCAATAACATTCTACATGCTATGTTTGCTAGTAAACCAGAGTTCAAAAATAGCGTCTCAGCAGAAATTCCGAACTCAATGATACGCGACCATATACCTATTTGTAAATTTTCTACTGTACATTGACGACAAAACTTAAAAATGGCATGGCTAATACACTCATTAGTTGATTGACAATACGGTAACAGATTTTCTAAATAAACAACTCGTCGACTGACTCAATTTTTAAATCATTGAAAAACGAACTAACCAACAATCTTCTGGTATTTAAATATTTTCTCTATACCTCACGAAAATTTGATACATCCACACTTTCATGAAACTTCTAGACGTCACACCAAATAACGTTCTTTAGCAACCAAAACATCTAAATTAGAATATCAAAAATATAGCCTAAAACAATTATTTTTTATGTTCTCACAGAAGAAAATATTGTCCTCTCTTTTATCATCTATTCTGCGATATTTCTCTCCTTTGATTCTTGTTTAAATCCAACACAATCATAACCTCAGTCTTATTTTATTCAAAATTCTCTATCTTGTAGCGCTACCTATCCCACTGCTTTGTAATTAATTTATTTATTAGTACTTACTAATAAAATAATTACTTTTTATTTCTTTCTTACCTACAAGTATATATATATATATATATATATATAGAGGGGGGGTATTAGTATATTGTATTTTTTACTATTTTGATCAGGAAATTAGATTTCTTATTTTTAAAATTAAGTATGTTTGACTTGAAATAAATCAATAATTATCGATCTCAAAAGCGCCTGATATGTTACTTCAGCACTTTTCTGGTTAGTGAATTTAACATGCTGTAATTCAAAAAATGTAAAAAACAAAACAAAAAACGTAAGTGTTTTACCCGAAATGAAAGACAGAATAAAATATTTTATATTTCACGTTTATATCATATCGCTCTCTTCTGTTACTAATGGAAATGAGGGCTTAGAAAGTGTGTTACTATTGGTTGGTTCTTATCCATTACATTTCTCTGAAAAGGTACCACAACCAGATCGATTGAAGCATGATAAGGTGGTATGTGGGGAGGTTTGTTGTTGAGTGTTTGAGAAAACGAAAGCCTTGCCAGAAGAACGATAAGATTGTAGAATTAAGTGTAGTCATTATCTAGGGGGGAAAGTAAGATTAAGCACCCAACGTCTTGGTCTTTTAAACGGACAAGAGTTTAGGAGTACAATTTGGCAAAGGTACAAAGTGAGGTGAGTTTATAGTATAAAAAAGCGCAATGCAGTGTTGTACATAGTTCATTTAATTCTGTTTAATATCAAACTACTTATTTTCTTGCACTCCTTAAATTTCAAGAAAAAAAAATAATTAAATTTGAATATTAGGATCATCTGATACTTTACTTCTATATATTTCTGTCACATCTATCAATTCACTTATTCTACACTTTCTACACTTAGCTACCTGTCCATTTATATATTAGTCTAGTTAGCCGACTATTTATTTATTTCTCAACCTCTCTTTATCTATTGCTGTTTCTTTGTATATCTATCTATCTATCTGTTCTGCTGTTTATTTGTATATCTATCTTTTTGTTCTACTGTTTCTTTGTATATCTATCTATCTGTCTTACTGTTTCTTTGTATATCTATCTATCTGTTCTACTGTTTCTTTGTATATCTATCTATCTGTTCTACTGTTTCTTTGTTTATCTATCTATCTGTTCTACTGTTTCTTTGTCTATCTATCTGTTCTACTGTTTCTTTGTCTATCTATCTGTTCTACTGTTTCTTTGTCTATCTATCTGTTCTACTGTTTCTTTGTATATCTATCTATCTGTTCTACTGTTTCTTTGTCTATCTATCTGTTCTACTGTTTCTTTATATATCTATCTATCTGTTCTGCTGTTTATTTGTATATCTATCTTTTTGTTCTACTGTTTCTTTGTATATCTATCTGTTCTATTGTTTCTTTGTATATCTATCTGTCTGTTCTACTGTTTCTTTGTATATCTATCTATCTGTTCTACTGTTTCTTTGTATATCTGTTCTACTGTTTCTTTGTATATATATCTATCTGATTTACTGTTTCTTTGTATATCTGTCTATCTGTTCTACTGTTTCTTTGTATATCTATCTATCTGTTCTGCTGTTTCTTTGTATATCTATCTATCTGTTCTACTGTTTCTTTGTTTATCTATCTGTTCTACTGTTTCTTTGTATATATCTATCTGTTCTACTGTTTCTTTGTATATCTATCTATCTGTTCTACTGTTTCTTTGTATATCTATCTATCTGTTCTACTGTTTCTTTGTATATATCTATCTGTTCTACTGTTTCTTTGTATATCTATCTATCTGTTCTACTGTTTCTTTGTATATCTATCTATCTGTTCTACTGTTTCTTTGTATATCTATCTATCTGTTCTACTGTTTCTTTGTATATCTATTTATCTATCTATCTGTCCCATTATATCTTGCTCTTGTTTTATGTTTGCCGCCTTTCGTTTTTAAGTATATTGTTTATTCCTTTTATTTTTTATTCTTTCTCCAAACATGTAACCCCCCAGTGGCAAAGCGGCATGTCTGCGGACTTACAACGTTAGAAACTGGGTTTCAATAGCCGTGGTAGGCAGAGCACAGATAGCCCATTGTATAGCTTTGAGCTTAATTTCAAACAAACAAAACATATATTTTTGTCCGCTAAACAAAATTCTATATTATTCATTCTTTGACAAAATCATGTTTATTTATTTTTCTTTTCGACGTTTTTCTTCTCAACTTTCATCTGTTATTCGCACTTCTTCCTTCCACTGACTAATGCAACATTCATGCTAACATCTTTGGATTCACAGATTGTACATTTAATGAGGTACATCTCTTTACGTGCTTTGAAAAAACAAAACATGATTTTTTAATCTACTCTACTCTGGTGGGAGGGGGAAGGGAGTATGCAAGTATTGATGAGGGAAAATAACATAAACAATAGGCCACAAAAACACAGAAACGAAAATATTCAAAGAAGTGAAAAGAGCACAATATATATGTATTATATCAAGTACAATCTAGCCATAACACAAAACCGAAACAGAAACCCACTGGAAATGCGGAAATACAACAGCCCTAGAGCAAGATTGAAATTATTTCAGGATTCCTATTGGCTTCAACGCACAATCTGAGTATTACTGAACTTCTCTAACTCCCCAGAACTACGAACACGAATTCAATAACAAACCAAGAAATAAAAATAATATTCCATAATTACTAACCTAATATTTATTCTTTTAATACAGATTTGAAAGAAATATAGATATCAGTGTATAATTTACTATATAAATAGTATTAAACTATAAGAGACATAATGTAATGCTGGGAGAATCAAATTTTATGGTTGTTGTCGTTTAATGATAAATGTATTATCTTCATATTCAGGTTATATCTGGAAATTAATGTCACCTTAATGTTTAATCGTAAGGTTTTCTTTGTAAGTGTTTATTTGTTACATATATTCTTTCTGACAACAGATACTTTATAGTCAAGATTTCATGTTTCGTTCAGTACTTTTAAAAGTATCTCCATATATTATTTACAGTTTCTTTTTCATAGAATATTATAACTGTTTTCCTTTTAGAATAAAATTCAAGCCTTTTCGCCTTCTCCACTCAAACATTTGTGATCTAAATGCGAGCAAATAGATAAAAAATCATTTTCGCAATAGTATGGCTGCTCTTCGACCTGATGTGTTAAAACTAAAAACAACATTAGGTATAAAGGGAAATAATCAGAAGTGCAAGATATAAAGTATATATATTGTAGTCGAGCCTGTGAAGCCCAAATATTAGTTTGTGTTTTAGTTCTTAAAGCTGGGGATATTAAGGTTTTACTAGTCGTTCATTACATAGTTTCGGACTGAAATAAACAACCGATTAGCGAAATTTTCATCATACATACTTACTTATCGTATGTGTGTCTATATGAGCTTGTATGTAAATACATACAGGTTTTGTAAATACAAATCTCTTAATATGGAGCTGCAGCAAGAAATAACGACATTTCCTGGCAACTAAAGATATCTATTCAAGTAACTTTTTTTGTATTAAAACCGCTAGAATGTACATATTTCACACATTTCTTAACTAGTACATAAAGAACTTTAAGTATAAATGTGTAAAAATAGCAGTTCAGATCTTCTTTTTACTGTCCAGAAGACTCTTCGTTCAACACTAGAGCTCTTTAACTGAAACATTATCGCAAATGGTATTTCATATGCAATATGAAAAATGGAATTTTACAGCCCATTGCTTCGTCAGCTTTCAGGAGTTTAACATCATAATAAAAAATCTTCTGATTTTTGTAAGAGAAGAGAATATTCAATTCCATCTTCTGTTTCTCAGTCTCTCTTAACTGTTGTCTTATGGTCTTCAGTATTATTGTTCTTTACAGTCTCTCAAGTGCCGTGTCTTATGGTTTCTACTCTTTCTCAAGTGTAGTCTTGTAGTTTCCAGTCCTCGAGTATTGAGTCTTATGGTTTCCAGTCACTCTAAGATATTGTGTCTTATGATTACCACTTAAACACTATCTCAGATGTTGAGTATTATGATTTCTACTCTCATAACTCTTGTGTCTTGTGGTCTCGACTCTGTTACAAGTGTTGTGTCTTACAGTTTCCATATTCTCTCAGTGTTGTATATTATGGTTTCAGCTCTTTATAACGTATTGTTTTAACTTTTCCAATGTTCTCTTATGGTTTCCAATCTCTCTTACTTTTCTTGTTTTATGTTTCCACTCTCCCTCAAGTGTGGTATACTATGATTTCCACTCTCTCTCAAGTGTGGTATCCTATGGTTTCCATTCTCTCTCTCAAGTGTGGTATCCCATGGTTTCCATTCTCTCATTCAAGTGTTGTATACTATGGTTTCCACTCTCTCATTCAAGTGTTGTATACTATGGTTTCCATTCTCTCTCTCAAGTGTGGTATACTATGGTTTCCATTCTCTCATTCAAGTGTTGTATACTATGGTTTCCACTCTCTCATTCAAGTGTTGTATACTATGGTTTCTACTCTCTCATTCAAGTGTTGTATACTATTGTTTCCACTCTCTCATTCAAGTGTTGTATACTATTGTTTCCACTCTCTCTCAAGTGTGGTATACTATGGTTTCCACTCTCTCATTCAAGTGTTGTATACTATAGTTTCCATTCTCTCTCTCAAGTGTTGTATACTACGGTTTCCATTCTCTCTCTCAAGTGTGGTATCCCATGGTTTCCATTCTCTCATTCAAGTGTTGTATACTATGGTTTCCATTCTCTGAGAGGCATATATTTCATGTGATCAATGCTAAACTTATTTTTAAACAGTTTATAGATACTTATATTACTAACGGAAGTCAATGATGTGACATCTTATAACACTAAGCTATCTATCAGATTTATTGCGTGCTGTATCAGTACTTTTAAAACATGTTGAATGGTTATTTGGATTTCTTGGGAATATGTTAAGAATTTATAGTCCATTTCAAAGTTTTATTGGGCTAATCTGCGCCTAATATTGACTACGTAAAACAAACTGTAGCTAAGACTTAAGCTTTAGTGAGTGTAAAACTTAGCCTGTTTATTTTGCTCCAATTTGTTCAGCAAATAAAGTTCATTTGAATCCTGCGAAGCGAAAGCGTTTTCATAGCAGTTGTATCTTTGTGCTGTAGGAATCGATAGACGGTGTATACTTGACGCTGTATGGGTTATTACAGTCTTTATCGTGAACATCGTAAGCATCGATAAATTGTTATTGATCGGATCGATGGACACGTATCCTCCTGAATCCTACTTCCACAGTGATCTTCTGGATCTTTTTCTGTTTGGATTTTTACATTAAACGATATAAATCTCTGTAAACACTAACCTTAAGTGCCTTGTTCCATCTCCTGTGTTTTAGTTGCTACAGTACTGTTAGTTCTGAGGTGAAACTATTATATATATATATACAAAATTAAGATCGTATGCTGTCCCATTTTTCAAACATATTCTTTTTCCTGTCTTTTTTTTTAATAACGCTTATTACTGTAATCTTTGATTTTGTTCCCCCATTCACCACATAGCTACGTGATTAGTCAAGCTACATTCCGTATTACTCGTATTACAGAGGCTGTGAAACCCTCTGCGTGTATTGATTAGTGGTCTCCTCTGTCGTACAAATGGACATCAACTTTCGTGTGTTGAAAGAGCCGTTAGGGTTCATCCGCACCATCCAGATAGTAAGTATTTTCTTACTTTCTTTGTCCTTGCTTTAATGCAGTTATGTATTTATTAATTTAAAGAAAAGTTAAAGTCTGCAATAAAATAATTTTTGTACATTTTGTGTATTATAAAACAAAACCATATAAAATTGTTACGTCTGGTGAATCAAAGACACATATAGAATTTTAAAGAACATTTTATACAAGAAATTCTGTGAAAAGAAGTAATTGGAACTTTACTTCTTTTCAAAGATTTCCTTGTATACACAATTATTATTTTTTATCGAAAATATTAGCCTGGTAACAATTTTTTTCTCTCAGAAATAATAAAAATAAAACTTTTCATCCTCCGTCTCAAATCATCTGTTCTACGTCTACAAAGGTCTAATAAACAAGACAAAACAGTGTAATAAAAGATGTATTTTAGATTAGAAAATAATGTCAGGTAAAAGTAAGT